AAATAAAAAAATAAAATAAAATGGCCAAAAGCTTTAAGTAGATACTTCACCAAAGAAGATAGATAGATGGAAACTGAGCACATGAAAAGACTCTCAACATCTCGGCTCACTAGGAAAGAAAATGCAAATTAAAACCATAATAAGATATCACTGCATAGTTACTATAAATTCTCTCAAATTAAAAAGACTGACCATAACAAACATTGATGAGAAGTGGAATAACAAACTCTCAGCCACTGCTGACAGGAATATAAAATGATGCAACCACTTTGTGGAGTCTGGAAGCTTCTTTAATAATAAAAACATATGGGGCGCCTGGGGGGCTCAGTTGGTTAAACATCTGACTTCGGCTCAGGTCATGATCTGTGGTTCATGAGTTCGAGCCCCGCGTCGGGCTCTGTGCTGACAGCTCAGAGCCTGGGGCCTGTTTCGGATTCTGTGTCTCCCTCTCTCTCTTCTCCTCCCCTGCTCACGTTCTGTCTGTCTGTCTGTCTGTCTCTCAAAAATAAATAAATGTTTAAAAAAATTTTTTTAATGTAATGGAAACAATGACTAGCAGGTTGGATACTACAAAAACAAAACAAAACAAAACTGAATTAGTGCATTTAAAGAGAAGACCAAGAAATTCTCCCAGAACACAGAGGCAAAAGGTAAAGAATGGAAGTGTTTGAGAGAAGACAGATGGAGAAGAGACCTAGAAGATCAAATAGTCATAAAATAAGATCACTGGGAGGAAGAGAGTCCAGGGCGAAGCAATGAAATAAAAATGCTCCTTGAAGTAAAGGAAGCCTTGACTCTTTTTTTTTTTTTAATGTTGTATTTATTTCTAGGAGAGAGAAAGAGAGACAGCGTGAGCAGGGGAGAGTCAGAGAGAGACGGAGACACAGACTCTGAAATAGGCTCCAGGCTCTGAGCTGGCAGTCAGCACAGAGCCCGACGCGGGGTTCGAACCCACGAACCACAAGATCATGACCTAAGCGAAAGTCGGACGCTTAACCAACTAAGCCACCCAGGCGCCCCAAGGAAGCCTTGACTCTTAATCACATGCTTTTAGATTAACTTAATAAGGCAAAAATAACACTAAGCATATATATCTTGGTAAGATTTTTGAATTTTAAGGATAAAGAAAACATTAAGGGGGCACCTGGCTGGCTCAGTCTGTGGAGAATGTGACTTTAAAAAAAAAAAAAAATCGATTTATTTTTGAGAGAGGGACAGAGCATGAGCAGGGGAGAGGCAGAGAGAGAGAGGAAGACATAGCATCTGAAGCAGGCTCCAGGCTCTGAGCTGTCAGCACAGAGCCCAATATGGGGCTCGAACCCACAAACCGTGAGATCATGACCTGAGCTGGAGTCAGATGCTTAAAGGACTGAGCCCCCCAGGCGCCCCTGGAGAATGTGACTCTTAATCTCAGGGTTGTGAGTTCAAGTCCCATGTTGGGTGTAGACACTACTTAAAAATAAAATCTAAAGAAAGAAAATACTTAAAATCTAAAGAAAGAGAGAGAGAAAGACAGAGGGAGGGAGGAAGGCAGGCAGGCAGAGAGACAGAGACAGAGAGAGAAAGAAAGAGAAAAGAAAACATTAAGGCAGAGGGGGGGAAACCCAGATTCCCTAAAAAGAATAAAGAATCAGAATGGTGTCAATTACCACCCGCGATACGGAGCGTCAGGGGAGAGTGGCGTAACGTTCTACAGGGAACTGAGGGAAAATGATTGATTGTGACCCAAGAATTCTATGCTGAGCCAAGCTCCCTGTGTCAGGACAACGGAAAGGTTCTCCGTGGCCACTGGGCCCAGACATGAGCCTGTGGGCACTGCCTCTCTCTTCTCAAGCCACAGAAGTGAGAGTAGACCTGAAAATAAATCCATCACCGTGCTGGAAGCGACAAGCGGAGCCCTGTTAAACTAGAAGCTAGAAGGAAGCCCTCAAGAACAGAAGGCAGACGGAGTGAGGCTGACAGAGGACACCAAAGCACAGAGTACAGGCAGGAGCATCGCTGTGAAAGGTGGAAGGTCTCGGGGGGCCTCTGACTGTTCATTAAAGTGCGAGATCTCGGCAGCAGGACAGACCCCTATTAGGGTAACTGCTCTGGGGATTCATGTGAAGCAGAAAGGTGACGGGCTTCCTCTCTCCTCACCTCTGGCAAGCAGACAAAAACATGTATTAACCACCAGGTGGGAGCAATGAATGTGAGAATTCTTTTTTGTTTGTTTGTTTAATGTTTATTTTTGAGAGGGAGAGGGAAGAGCAGAGAGAGAGAGAGAAAGAGAGAGAGAGAGAGAGGAAGAGAGAGGATCCAAAGCAGGCTCCGCCCTGTTAGCACGGAGCTCAATGTGGGGCTTGAACTCACAGATCCTGAGATCATGACCCGAACCGAAGTCCGACACTTAACCGACTGAACAACCCAGGTGCCCCAAATATGAGAATTCTTGGCCATAAAAGTGCTGGATGGCTGGTAACTAACACCCAGCAGGAATGGGGAGCCCCAGGGCCCCAAAGTCTAACCACAAGTACACCCTGATTAGCGATGTGTTTTCATGACCCTGCATAGGTTAATAGCACTCCACAATAAATAAAAGCATTCAAAGAGAGTCTACCAAAGTATTTTAAAAAAGGACAGGGGCACCTGGGTGGCTCAGTCAGTTAAGCGTCGGACTTTGGTTCAGGTTATGATCTCACAGTTCACGAGTTCGAGCCTCACATCAGGGTCTGTGCTGAGAGCATGGAGCCTGGAGCCTGCTTCAGATTCTGTGTTCGCCCCACCCCCCACCTCTCTCTCTGCCCCTCCCCCACTTGCGCCCTCTCTCTCTCTCAAAAATAAACATTTTTAAAAATGCTTTAAAAAAAAAAAAAGAGTATGTTGCAACCTTGGAGTAGAAGAGATCTTCTTACAAATAAGACACAAAACACTTATACTATATAAATATTTAAATCTCTGTATGACACAGCCATCAACAAAGTTGAAAACAAACAAGAAATAGGGTATTTGCAGTGTATGTGGCAAAGATTAATACGGAGACTACAAAAGGCATTCCTACAGATCAAAAGGACGATGAAATGGAAAAATGGGCAAAGAAGATGAAGAAATATAAGTGGCCACATCAAAAAAAGCTCAATTTCATTAGTAATCATGAAAATTAAAACAAAGAGCTATAATTTTCTCCCCTTAAATTGGCAAAACTATAAACCTGATGATATTAAATGTTGAAGTGGGTACAAGGGACCCGCACCTTCAATCACTGATGAGCGCACAATTTGGCAATATCTATTTAAAACACACATACCTTTTGCCTCAGCAGTTCTATTTCTAGTTACCTACTACAGAGAAATACCCACTCGGACAGGCACAGATGGGGCATGAATGAGGATGTACTTTGTTTTAAAAGACTTTTTTTTTTTTTTTTAATGTGGGGGCAAAGGCAGAGGGAGAGAGAGAGAATCCCAAGCATGATCTATGCTCAGCACAGAGCCTGACCAGGGGCTCATTCCCATGACCTTGGGATCATGACCTGAGCCGAAATCAAGAATCAGAGGCTCAATCGACTAAACCACCCAGCCGCCCCCGTATGTCCCCTGTTTGTTTTTTTAATGTTTATTTATTTTTGAAGGAGAGAAAGACAGAGTGTGAGTCGGGGAGGGGCAGAGAGAGAGGGAGACACAGAATCCAAAGCAGGCTCCAGGCTCTGAGCTGTCAGCACAGAGCCCGCCTAGGGGCTTGAACTCACAAACTGTGAGGTCATGACCTGAGTGGAAGCCGGATGCTCAACTGACTGAGCCACCCAGGCGCCCCTTATGTCCCTTGTTTTTAATAGCACAGAGCTGGAAACCACCTAGGCCGATGGCTAGGGGAACAACTGACAAATGAAATATGATACATCCACATTACATCTTCTTTCCAGAACTAAAATGAATCAGATCTAGATGAACTGAGAGAATGACCTTGGAGAAAAAAGTAAGATGCAAAACAGCAGGCAGGACAGGAGTCAGGTATGTACATCCTCCCCCAAAATTTCAGCCCACAGATTCAAATGTGCAAGAAATGGTGAAATAGCACACTCCTTTCTTGTTACATAAACATCATTAAAAAATTTTTTTTAAATGTTTTATTTATTTCTGAGAGAGAGACACACACACAGCGTGAGCAGCGAAGGGTCAGAGAGAGAAGGAGATACAGAACCTGAAGCAGGCTCCAGGCTCTGAGCTGTCAGCACAGAGTCTGACGTGGGGCTCGAACCCACAAACCTTGAGATCATGACCTGAACCGAAGTCGGATGCTTAACCGACTGAGCCACCCAGGTGCCCCTAAACATCATTTTAGACTCCAAGCCCTCAGGGATCCCCAGTCTGCGTCCCCCATCCCCCGCTCTGTCACCCCCTGCTTGTATGTGCTCTCTCTCTCTCAAAAATAAAGATTAAAACAAACAAACAAACCTCTGAGCCCTCAACTCAAGTTTGTGGGAAATGAACCCTAAGTAATTCTTGAGGCATTGTTGCCCCTCACCCTCGACCCAGAATTTTACCCTGATTTTGTGCAGTGCAGGGGCTTGTAAGGGTGAGGGTTATGTCTCCATCTTCTCTGTGTCCTCTGTATGTGGCTCAATGGCTGGCAGAGAACACCACTCAGGAGATGTCTGGGAAATGCACGCCATGGCCACACAGCGGGTAAGTGGCAGGACCTGAGATCCAGACCCCTGTCCGCTGCTCTCTGGGGTGCAACATACGCAGCCCCGTGGGGCCCTGTGCTCGGACGTGCCACACTTGGTGCATCTCCCCCTTCCTAGCAAATATTGTCAAAGGAGACCTAGTGGAGAGTCAGGACTTTCACCTTTGACCACAGGTAAAAAGAAACCTCCCTCTCGCGGTGTCTGCAGAAGCCACAGGGGAAGAACAGTAATGAGGCTCTCCCTCCCTAACCAACCAGAGAGCAGGGGGTATAAGAGGAAGACTTGTAGGGAGCCGGGACCCCCACTCCTGCTAATTACTATGAGGGCTTCCTACCTCCCTGCTTAGGGCCAACTGAGGCTGAGTGGGGAGGCTGGGCTTCTTTCCACATTCGCAGTAATAAGGAAGCTCCACCATTTCCCCTGCAGGAGCAGTCTCAAAGGAAGCTACCTTAAAAAAAAAAAAGAAAAAAGTTTAGGGGCACCTGGGTGGCTCATTCAGTTAAGCTTCGATTTCAGCTCAGGTCATGATCTCACGGTTCGTGAGTTTAAGCCCTGCGTCTGGCTCTATGCTGACAGCTCAGAGCCTGGAATCTGCTTAGGTTCTGTGTCTCCTTCTCTTTGCCCCTCCCCTGCTTGCACTCTGTCTGTCACTCTCTCTCTCTCCCCCCAAAAATAAATTACAAAAACATTTAAAAAATATTTTTAAGTTTAAATAAGATCCAGGGTCTCTTAACATAATGCCGAAAATGTCCAGGTTTCAATAAAAAAAAAAAAAATACTCATCATACCCAAAACAAGGAATATCTTAAACTGAATGGAAAAAAAACCCTCAATCACTAGATGCCAACAGCAAAATGATAAAGGCAGAATTATCTGCAAAGATTCTAATGCAGCCATCATAAACATGCTTCAACAAGCATTTATGAACATTTCTGAAACAAAATAAAAAAAATAGAGTCTCAGCAAAGAAACACTAGATAGAAAAGAGAACCAGATAGAGAGTTTAGACCAATAACTGAAATTAAAAAGCTCAACGAATGGGCTCAAAACAGAAAGGAGAGGGCAGGGGGGAAAAAAAAACCTAGTGAACTAAAAAGTAGAACAATAGAAATTATCCAGTCTTAACCGCAAAAACAGACTGAGGAAAAAATGAGCAGAGCATCAGGGATGTGTGGGGCTATTTCAAAAGATCAAACGTCATGTCATCAGAATCTTAGGAGAGAAGAAAAAAGGCAGGGCTGAACAATACTCAAAGAAAAACTTTCCAAATTTGGCAAAAGGCACAAAATGACAGATTCAAGAAGCTGAGTGAACTCCAAGCAAGATAAATCTAAACAAGTTTACACCAAAACACATTACAGTCCAACTTCTGAAAACTAAATAAAGGAGAAATCTTAAGAGTAGCCAGAGGAAAAGCAGCACCTTCCCTATATGGGAAATTAATTCAAATAAGAACTGATTTCTCATCCGAGACCACAGACGCCAGAAGAAAATGACGTTAACATTTTCAAGTATTGAAATGTCAACCCAGAATCCCATATCCAATGAAAATGTCCTTTAAGGATGTTGGAAGAAGTCAGGAAATTCCCAGATAAAGGAAAACTAAGATAATGTCACCAGCTGATATGTTCAACTGACTTTTGATATAGCTGCAAAAGCAATTCAATGGAGGAAAACTGGCTTTTCAACAAATGATTCTGGAGTAATTGGACATCCCCAGGCAATTTAAAAAAGTTAACCTCTATCTAAATCTAACACCTTATACAAAAGTTAATTCAAAATGAAAAATGTACCATGTACTTAAATATAAAACATAAAACTTTTATTGATTTTAAAGTTTATTTAAAAAACTCAAAGAAAAGTTTATTTTTTATTTAAAAAATCTCTGTACCCAATGTGGGGCTCAAATTCACAACCTCGAGATCAAGAGTCACATGTTCTTCCAACTGAGCCAGCCAGGCACCCCCAAACATATAACTTTTAGAAACAAAAACAGTCTTCTGAACCTATAGCTTGGCAAAGTGTTCTCTTTGACACCAAAAGCACAAACCATAAAAGAAAAAAGTTGATAAATTGGCTTTCATCAAAATTAAGCACTTTTGCTCTGTGAAAGACGCTTTTGAAAAGATGAAAAGATAAGCTACAGAGTGGGAGGAGATATTTGCTAAGCACGTATCTGACAAAGGACTAGTGTCTAGAATATATAAAGAACACTTAAAACTCAACAGGTAAACAATCTAGTTAGAAAATGGGCAAAATACATGAAAAGACATTTCCATTTAAGATGGGAAATAAGCATTAAGAAGGATGTTCAACATCACTACCCGTGAGGGAAAGGCAAATCATAGCAGTGAGGTATCCCTACACATCTACTGGAATAGCTAAAATTAAAAAGTTGCTGCACCAATGCAGAACAGAATATGGAGAAGTGGGCCACTTAAACATTGCAAATGGAAATCTAAAATGGTTTAGTCATTCTGGAAAACAATTTAGTAGTTTTTTATAAAGAAATCAGGGGCACCTGGGTGGCTCAGTCGGTTAAGCATATGACTTTGGGTCAGGTCATGATCTCATGGTTTGTGGATTCGAGCCCCGTATCGGGCTCTGTGCTAACAGCTAGCTGAGAGCCTGGAGCCTGCTTCAGATTCTATATCTCCCTCTCTCTCTGACCCTCCCCTGCTCACGCTGTATGTGTCTCTCTCTCAGAAATTTTAAAAAAAAAAAGTTTTTTAAATTTTTAAAAAAACTAAATATGCAACAAACATAGGACCCAGCAATCGTAATCCTGGGCATTTATACTAAAGAAATGAAGACTTATGTTAACACAAAAGCTGTATACACATATTTATAGCAGTTTTATTTATAATAGCTCAAAACTGGAAACAACTCAGATGTTGTTCAAGGTGAGGGGTGAGTGGTTAAACTGTGGTATATCCATACCATAGAATACTACTTGGAAATATAAACAAATAAACTAATGATACACATGACAAATCTAGATGAATCTTGAGAGTATTATTCTGAGTGGGGAAAAAAAAGCCTATCCAAAAGTTTATACAGTATATGATTCCATTTGTGTAACATTCTAGAAATGACAAGATGGAGTTCCTTTATCAGGGACTGAGGAGGGGGTGGGGGAAGCGAAACATGACCTTGTAATGGGAATGTTCTGTACCTTCATTATATCAAGTCAGGGTCCTGGTTGTTATATCGTACTATAGTTTTAAAATACGCTGCCATTGGGAAAAACTGAGTAAAGGGCCTACCTGACCATTCGGTATTATTTCTTATACATATGAGTCTACAATTATCCTAAAAGTTGAATTTAAAATGTGTAGCATAACACAATAAACATGATAAAAGCCACCTTCTCTTCCCTATACGGAACAGAAAGAAAAGGCCAAGTATGAGGCAGTGTGTGGCTAGGTGTCCGGACTCCGATGAATCCATCCCTGTTTCTGCTTCCATCTGGGGACCTCATGATCCCCTCTGCCCCTGGAACCCAAAAGACCTTCTGCTCTTATCTCTGACTCCAAGGTAGTCTCAAGGAAGAAGGATGCAAATAGTCACTGACTATCTAAGATGGAAGAACTTTAAATTCTGGGACTGAACAAGTCTCTTAAATACTGAGGGCTTCAATTCAACCCTATCTAATATTCACTGGGTATCATGGACAGTAGCAAGAGGGGCTGGGGATAGTGGGTAGCCTTTAACCTGCATCTATATCAACACCCCCCCCCCAAAGTAATATGCTTTGTCTGCTACAGAATATTGACATTTTCTTAATTTGGGGTAAAATGTTCAGTGTAAGTATAAATGGGGGCTTAGATGCAAACAGGGACTGAGACAATCCCCTGGATACACTCTATTCCCACCTCCGCCCTCAACAAGACTGCCACCCTTCATTGGCTCTTGATCACTAGGATCTACTCTGTGTGACATGTTATAGGGATTAAGGCTAAAGAAGTTAACAGGATTCTCATAATCTGATTGGAAGACACAGAAAAGACAACTCATACATACCAAACATCTGTGTGCTTCGAAACACTCTCCTAGGCACTTCACATTATTTAGATTATCTCATTTACTCCTCACAACCCTGGGTGGTAGCCGCTATTATCCCCCTTTCACAGATGTGGAAACCAAAGTTCATGGGTGTGCCTTGACACACCGCTTGTAACTGGGATCAGGAACTGACGACAAACTCTTTTCACCGTATACTACATTGCTTCTAACTCTGTAGAGGTATTTATTTTCTGTACGGTCCTAATCTTCCCAACCTTCTAAAGTCGTTGTTTAATAAAGACAGATAGGGGGTTTTGTTTTTGTTTTTCTGTTTTTAAGTTGATGAGAGCAAGAAGCCATTATTAAAATACACGGGACTTTACACATTTGAAAAATCATCAGATTCCATGTTTCCCAACAGCTCTATTAAGACATAATTAACATAATGTAGAATTTCTCCTTCATCCATTTTAAGTGTACAATTTAATGAATTTTATTTACAAAGTTGTACACTGCGCCACAAACTAATTTTAGAGCATTTCCATCAGCCTAAACAGAAATCTCATGGTACATTCACTCCTCATTTCCACTCAGCCCACTCATCTGTATAGATTTGCCTTTTCTGAACCCTTCATATAAATGAAATCATTCGTGTTTTGTATCTAGCATCTTCCAGTTAGCATAACGTTTTCAAGGTTCATCATAGCTAAAAGGTATTCCATTGTATGATATGCCTTTATCCACTTGTTTTGTCATCCATCCAATTGACAGACTTCTGGGTACTGTGAGTAATGCTGCTACAAACATTTGTTTCTATGTCCTTGTATGGACAAATGTATTCATTTCTTCTGGAAAGATACCTAGGACTGAAATTGTTGGATCACACAGTAAGTATGTTTAACTGGGTTTTTTTTTAGGGATATATTTATTTATGTATTAAAGTTTATTTATTTATTTTGAGAGAGAGAGAGAGAGAGAGAGAGAGATCCCAAGCAGGCTCCGTGCTGTCAGCGCAGAGCCCAACGTGGCGCTCCATCTCACGAACCCTGGGATCATGACTTGAGCCAAGATGGAGCATCAGACACTTAACCGACTGAGCCATCAGGTGTCCCTACACTTAACATTTTTTTTTTTTTACGCTTAACTTTTTAAGACACTGCCAGACTGATTTCCAAAGTGGCTGCATCATTTTACATTCCCACCAGCAGTGTAGGAGAGTTCCAATTTCTCCATGTCCTCACCAACACTGACTATTGTTTATCTTTTTATTCTGGGCATTTAGTGGGTAAGAAATGGCATCTTGTTACGGTTTTGAATTGTATTTACCTAATGACTAACAATGCTGAGTGTCTTTTCATGTATTTGTTGATCATTGTGTCTCTTCTTTGGAGAAACAGCTATTCAAATCCTTTGCCCACTAAAAACATAGACTTTATTTTTTGAAGCAGTTTTAGTTTCATAGCACAACTGAGTGGAAAGTACAGAGATTTCCAATATTCCCCTCCCCCTGCCCCCAGGCTTCCCTACTATCAGTATCGGCCTCCAGAGTGCTACATTCGTTATAATCGATGAACACTGACATATCATGGTCATCCAAAGTCCATCGTTTGCATTACGGTTCACTCTATGGGTTTGGACAAATGTAAATGACATGTATCTACCACTATAATACCATACAGAGTCTCATTACCCTAAAAAGCCTGTGTTGCACCCATTCATTCATTGAGGCCTCCCCCCCCACCCCCGCCAGCCCCGAGCAACCAATGATCTTTTTATTGTCTCCATAATTTCGTCTCTTTCCGTTGTGCCTTATAGCTGGAATTATACCATATACAGCCTTTTCACGTTGGCTTTTTGCCCGTTTAACTTTCCTCTGTGTCTTTTCACGGCTCGATAGCTCGTTTCTAACGCTAAAGAATACTCCATTGTCTGGCTGTACAAAAGTATATTTATCGATTCACCTCCCAAAGGACGTCTTGGGTGCTTCCAAGTTTGGGCCATTCTGAAAAAACAGCTGTAAACATCCATGTGCAGGTTTTTGGGTGGACCAAAGTTTTCAGCTCATACCAATCACACCAAGGGGTGTGGTTGTGGATCACACAGTAAGAGCGTGTTTACATTAGAAAGAAACCGCCAAGCAGACCAAAGTGGCTGTGTGACTGTTCATTGTCACCAGCAATGAAACACCTCCTGCTGCTTACTCCACTGCCATGTGGTATTGTCACCTTGGCTTGGTTTTAAATTGGGCTCTTTGTCTTTTTAAAATTGTTGAGTTGTAAGAATCTTTTATATGTTCTAGATGCAAGTACTTTATAGAATATATGATTTGCGAATAGTTTCTCCACAGTTTGTGGATTGTTTGGGGGGCCTTTTTTTTTCAATGTATAGGGATATTAAACACCAAATTCATGATAATGTTCACTCTTGGAGGAGGTAGGAGCATGGATCGGGTTAGACTTAGGTAGATATAATGATGTGAGAGGTAGAGCACAGAGATAGAGAGACAGAGCACGAGCAGAAGAGGGTCAGAGAGAGAGGGAGACACAGAATCTGAAGCAGGCTTCAGGCTCTGAGCTGTCAGCACAGAGCCCGATTCAGGGCTCCAACTCACAGGGAATGAGATCATGACTTGGGCCAAAGTCAGGGGCCCAACCCACTGAGCCATCCAGGTGCCCCAATGCCCCCTGGAGAATTTAAACCAGGTAAACTTCTTAAGGTGGGTACTGAGGTTCAAGAGTTTCCATTTTCTTATCATGCTTTAGACTTGTATATGGTGCATGCTTTTTTTTTTTTTAACGCAAGCTCACTTAAATGCACAAATACATTTTAAAAGGTAATACAAGAACAAAAATCTGATTTTTTTTTTTTTTTTTTTTTTTTACCCTTTCAAATGGGAAAGCCTGGGACAGGGGCAGGGCCACGTTCCATGCTGGCTGACCTCGGCCCTGGGCCCTGCTCCTTCCCCAACACACTCACAAGGTGTCTGCCAGCTGCACTTGGAGAAAAGACCTGCTGAGCTAGGGGCAGGCGTCAGCTGGTGGGGGGAAGGGGGACATCACGTAGCAGGTGGCCTAGACCCTACATCTCAGTTTCCTCACCTGTAGAAAGGGGATGCTAACAGAACCTCTCTGATCCATGAAATTAGGTAAAATACCTAGTGCACGTTAACTGTAACTTTTCCCTTGGCACGTCGGGGTTCCCCGGGATGGTGAGAGGTAACCCCAATGCCAGCAACAACGGGGATACCCAGGATGGACGATACAAGGCTCCTTCCAGATCTAAATTTCTGGGCTGCTTTTCCGAGGGATCCACAGTTTAGGATGATAATGTTCTTGCGTAAAATGAGGCTGATGATAGAACCTACCTTCCCGGGATGTGGAGAAGCGCCCCGAAGCTAACGGCCAGGAAAGTGCTTTGGCATCTACACAGCGCTTGCAGAGTCGGTTTATAGAAAAAGAAATAAAAAATACTATCGCAGAAAAACCGCACAGGGGTCAGGCCATCGCCACGGCAGCCCAGGCTCCGTGAGGCGCCTCCGCTGCCCTTTGCGGCCGCGGCCAGCGCCGCGAAGCTGACCCGCGAAGCTCTGCAGGCCCACGCGCCTCCAGGCGCATCCAAAGGAGCGAGGCGGGCAGGTGGCCGACGCCACGCTGCGGGAGGCCGGGCGACAGCTCGACGGCCACTCTGGCGCTCCAGCGTCCCCTGGCGGCACGGTTGGGTCAGGGTTAGGACCACCAACGGCGGAGCCGGCATTTCCGCACAGGAGCATGCGCAGGCCCCAGGGGCCATCACCCAGAGATGGAGGTCTCCCAGCCAATCAGAGAGCCCTACAGCTCTCCTCCCGCCTACCCGTGGAGTTTAGGGGCGTGGCGTTCAGCTTTAGCCAATGAGAGAAGATTTTCGTCCTCAGGCCGCACTCGCGGGAGGGGCTTTCTTTAGCAAGATGGCGGCGAGCGGCCTCCGGCGAGCTGCAGTTGCGGCTCCTACCTCAGTGAAGCCCATTTTTAGTCGGGACATGAATGAAGCCAAGCGGAGGGTGCGCGAGTTGTATCGCGCCTGGTATCGAGAGGTGCCGAACACTGGTGAGAGGCAGCGGGGCTCCGGATGCAGCCGCCCAAGGTCGCAGCCGTCCTGGCCTCCCATTTCTCCCGGGACGAGCTGAGGTCACCGACTTGGGCGCAGGCGACTCCGGGTGCTTCAGGGGAGGAGGGTCCCCCGAGCATTTAATGGACCCGATCTGGCGGCCCCGCCCGAGTCAGACCAGCAGTGCCCCGCAGACGGACCGCGCTTCGAGGCGCCCCGGGCCCTTTGGCCTTTTTGTCCCCCGTAATTCTTACCGAACCCGTGGCGGGGGGGGGGGGGTGCAGGGGAAGCAGGGACTGTCAGTGACCTGCTCATTTTACAGATGAGGCACCTAGAGGCGAAGTGACGCCCCCGAGGCCCAGAGCCAGCTCTTGTTGGATCTGGAACCCAAAGTCCACCGTAGAGTTTCTGAATAAATGTACGGCTGCCCACCAAGTTAACTGAACAAAGTGGCTGTAGGACTTGAGCGATCGTCCGTTTCCCACATGATCCCCCACAAAAACAGACGACCTGAGAAGGGAAGTGACTTTCCCAGGGTCATCCGCTTAAGTCAGTGGTGCCTCTTCCAGTCCTTCCATTTCCAGTTTCCCAAGCTTGTCCCCTAAGGTCTACCTGCCGTCAGTAGTTCTTAGGGACTCCTCCCCCAGCCCCCTTATGGCCTGCCCCCTGCCTTCACTTAGACCTGAACGATTGAAATAGAAGCTCCCTGGGTACAGAGATTCTGTTTTCTTACCTTGGCATACCCTCTCGGTGCCTCCCGTACTTAATGAAAGGAAGATTGGGGAAAATCCCACTAACCTGTCAGGGGCAGTACAGATGTCAGTGGCTGTTGATATTTTATTCTGTTGATTTGATTTAGTTTATTTTAATGTGGACTGTCACTGCCAGGCTGAGAGGGAAGGTGTTTTTAAGCAAGCTGGAGCATCATAGCACCCTTCTGGGCTGCCTCTTCCCTGCCTGTGAATGTGGTGGTTACAGACTTGCCTCCAGACCTTACCCTTTAGTAGCTGTGTGACCTTGAGCAAATTATTTCATCTTGCTATGCCTCAGTTTCCTCATCCGTAAAATGAGCATCATGATAGTACTTTCAGAGAGTAGCCCTTACTAAACAGGTAATGTATCTAAAGTGCTTAGGCTCAGTCCTGGCACTTAGACATGCATTGGATGTTGGCTGCTACTATTGTTTTTATTATTATTATTACTGTTATTTATAGCAAGAGTCTCCATGCAGAAGCCAGGCTTTTTAAAAAAATCTTTATTTATTTATTTTTGAGGGAGGGAGCAAGGGAGGGAGAGAGAGAATCCCAGATAGGCTCTGCACTGGATCTCACAAACCATCAGATGCTTGACCGACTGAGCCACCCAGGTGCCCCAGCACCGTGTCTGCTCCACGGTGTCCTTGTCCTCAACCTGACTTTTTGAGAGTTGCTGATGACCAATACTTAGACCCACAGGATACTAGGGAGGGAGAAAGTTGATTGAACTGCCGTTTCAGGGATGCAAATTTAAATGCCTTCAGGGGGCAGTAGCAAGTGTCTGTGAATGTGTGTGTGTGTGTGTGTGTGTGTGTGTGTGTGTAGGGGTGTATTCAATTGCAGATGTTTAAAAACATAACGTTGGCCTAGCGGAATACTTCTGTGAGTGCCCAGAACCCTTTCTTGTTGAGGAGAGGAGCAGGAGGTGGGGAACAAGACCCAGATGCAGGAAGAACGCTTTGCATAGTATTTAAAAAAAAAAAAAAATCAGTGGCTGAGTTGAGGATAGACCCACTTATCCACACTCAGGAGCCGGCTCTTTTTAAACCATCGCCTTACAGGAGTTCCCCTCAAATACTCTTTGAGAAGATAACCCCAGAGTCAGAAGGGTCCTGAGAGGAGGAGCCTAGAGAGCAAGGGAAGGAAGCAGAGGGAAGGGGTTAAGGGGGTGGTCTGTAGCTGGTCAGTTGCTCAGGACTGTGTCTACACCCATGTCATGCTCTCCGTTGTTGGGACTCCAGCTGAGGAGCCACAGCAAAGAATTGGGAATAAGTAATAGCACTTATAATAAATAACATTTATAGAATTGCATACGTATAGCCCAGCATTATGCTAAAAGCTTTACATTGCTTTCTTTTAGGGTAGGTTCTGATTGTTTCCCTGTCTTACAGATCAGGAAACTGTAAGAGGCACATCAGTCACCCTATTAGCGAGGGGAGGAGCCTGACTTAGGAGACCCTCAGTATCCAGCTGTTAGACCTGGCTCTCAGCTATCTCAGGGGACCCAGTTATGCTGCACTTGGAGAGGGAGAGAAGCCACGTGCCTGGGTGGCGGCTGCCTGGCATGGGCACGCAGGGACAGAACTACCTTCCTTCAAATCCCTTACTGAAAAAATATTACCTGGGGCTTGGTGTTTACAGAACAGGACACTTGACGTAGAAACCATTTAATTTCCATTTCCTCTGCCGTCTCTGGTACTACAGGGTTAGTACCAACTGCCTCGAGATGCAAATGTGAATAAAACAGCCCTGCCTTCAGGGGTCTTGTGGGCTAGTCAGGAAGGTAGGCGTATATCCAGATTATTAAAACTTAAAATAGATGTGTGGAGAATAAGAGCTGAAATGGTTACAACTAATATTTGCATTAGCTTTACTGTATGCAAGATGTTGTCGCCTGATTTTTGCCATGTTCCCATAAAGGAATTCGGTCAGAGGTTATTTTTCTTCTCCTATGTTTTGGATGAGGAAGCAGGCTAAGGAGGCTGCCGTAAGCAAGGTCATAGTTGATAGTGGTGTGGAGTCCTTACTGCTGTTGAACCCAAGCCCACGCATGCTCTTCCATTACACTGCGCTGCCTTCCCTTCTCAAGATCTCCCAGTGCCTGGTACGAATGCTACAAGATGGATTGGAGCAAACAGCTGAGAACCATATCATTGTCTTCCTTTCTTAAGGTGTCAGGGCCTTTCTGACTCCTTAATAGTAACTTTGGGAAAACACACGGAAGCTACGGAAAAGTCCCCTTCATCCAAAGGGCCACGTTGAGCCTCTTGAGCCTCTGCGATTTTTCAAATTGCAGTTTAAATATTCAGAATTTAAAGAATAAGGCAAGAATCTGTGAGCTGAGAAAGAGCAGTTGGAATTCATTTATACCAGGGTTTCGCCACACATTTGTGCTGGAGAATTCTTTGTTGTGGAGGCAATCGTGTGCATGGTAGTTTAACAACATCCCTGGCCTCTACCCACTAGATGCTGGTAGCACCCTCTCCTTGCTTGTGACAACCAGAAGTGCCTCCAGACATTGCCAGACGCTCTGGAGGGCAAAATCATTGCTGGTTTAAGAACCACCGAGTTAGACCAGAGAAGACTTCTGCAGGCTGTAGCTTAGGCTGTTTACCTTCCGCAGCCTTTCTCACTGGTGGGGGAGGGGGGGATGTTCAAGGGGTTGGGATGGGAGGAGGGAGATTGGGACAAAGCTATGGACTTGTCTCCCTAGAGACCAACCTCGGAGGATGGGCATTCAGGGATCTGTGAACTGACACTGTAAGCAAAACTCGGCGTTTGTGCCTGTGAACATTTTCCTGAGGAGGAGATTTGTACACCTGATGGCCTGGTGCATGGTTCAGGAGGTCATGAGGAATGAGAGCAGATGGACACCAGCTTCCCTTGTACAGAGGGACCTTGTTTTTTTTAAACTCCCAAGGTTGGGCAGGAATCTAATATAAAAGTTCAGGAAATGGGGGCGCCTGGGTGGCTCAGTCGGTTAAGCGTCCGACTTCGGCTCAGGTCATGATCTCATGGTTTGTGGGTTCAAGCCCCGCTCAGGCTCTGTGCTGACAGCTCAGAGCCCGGAGCCTGCTTTGCATTCTGTTTCTCCCTCTCTCTCTGACCCTCCCCTGCTCACGCTGTCTCTCTCTCAGAAATAAATAAAACATTAAAAAAAAAAAAAAAGGAAAAGTGCAGGAAAGATAAGCACTGACCGCAGGGGAATAGTCCTCATACTCATTTCCTTTAAAAAAAACAGGGCGCCTGGGGGGCTCAGTTGGTTAAGAGTCGGGACTCTTGATTTCCACTAGGGTCATGATTTCACAGTTTGTGGATTCAAGCCCTGCATCAGGCTCTGCGCTGACAGCATGGAGCCTGCTTGGGATTCTCTCTCTCTCTGCCCCTACCCTGCTGGCGCACTCTCTCTCTCTCAAAATAAACTTATAAAAAACAAAAATCAAAAAATTAAAAACACTAAACCACCTGTGTTCCAGGCTTATGTTTTCCAGGGGCCAATACTATGACTTCAGGCAGGTACCCACGGTTCTATGGGCCCCACTCTCCCCAAGTGAGAGGATTCTCAATCCCTGGATGCTTGTTAGTTTGCATTTGTTTTTGTGTCTTTGTCTTACTGTCCCTGTGTTTGCCCTTTTCTAAAATTCCTACTATGATACCGGCGGTGGTGGGAACCTAGATTTAGAGCATCGACCATTTCCCATGGTACCAGTTCTCCCACCACGGTTGATTGTAAGCTGCTAGAGTG